TCTGATTTATTACACTTATGGATTCAAGTTGTATCCCTTTTCCTGTAAATAACTTAAGTTTTTCTTCAGCACAGAACAATATCCCATTGAGCATAAATACCACATGTTCTTTATCCATTTATTTGTTGATGAACATACAGTGCAGTCTATTCCCAGAATTAACTATTAAGAATTGTACCACATACACATGCACACGTGTCATTGTAGTATTATGTCCTTACCTGTTTCAGGAAGATGCCAAGAGGAGAATATCTGGGTTAGGTCGAATTTCTGTTTGTAGGCTTTTAAGGAATTGCCATACTACTTTCCACAATGGTTGTACTAGTTTACTTTCCCACCAATAATGTAGAAATGTTTTCTGTCCCATTGCTTTATCAGCATTTGTTATTCTTGGATTTCTTGATGATGACCATTCTGGAGTGAGATAGAGTTTTCGTGTTGCTTTACTTTATATTATTTTACTGACCACTGGTTTTACATATTTATTAACCATTTGTACTTTTTCTTCTGATAACTGTTTATTCACTTTAGTTGTTCATTTTTGGATTTGGTCTTTTATTCTGGAGGGTTTAATTATTCTGGGTTCTTTTAATATTCTAACTATTGACCTTTTGTATACATGTAGCTGGTAATGTTTCTTCTGATTCAGTAATTTATCCTCACATTGTGATTGCTTCTTTCATTGTAAAGAAGTTTAGTAATTTTATATAATCCCAGTTTTCAAATTCTTGATATTATTTTTGTGCATTTGGAATTTTATTCAGAAAGTCTTCACCTATGCCTATGTTGTCAAGGGTTTTACTTGCCTCTTCTTCCAGCAGTATTCTAGTATCTAGAAATTTGAAATATTTTGATTTTAGGTTAATCAAAAGTGAGATCTATGAAACTAGGTTCAATCTTCTACACGTGGAGAGTAAGTTTCCTAGAACAATTTACTAAAGACACTATCTTTCCTTTAGCATGTTTTTGACTGTTTTTGAAAGACCATATGACTGTGTTTGGATAATGACTGAGTTCTCTTTCTATTTCATTGGTCCACACAACCATTTTTGTGCTGGTACCATTGTATTTTTACTCCTGGCTATGTAATATAACCTCAAGTCCTGGATTACAATGTTATTTTGTTTACACAAGATCAATCTTGCCATTCTCAGTTTCTTCTAGTTCAGTATGAATTTTAGGATTGTTTTGTCTAACTCTGTGATGAATTTTTTTAAAATGTATTTTAGTACAGGGTCTACAGGGTCTCACTATACAGGTCAGATTTGTAGTGATTCTCCAGTTTTCAGCCTCCCAAGCACTGGGATTGCAGGCCATGCCACCACCCCCAGTCTAAGTCACCACCTCAGCACACCCAGGGGTGGGGCCAGCACAGCAGGACAGAAATTGAACCTGGCCGTGTGCCTGCCGAAGCAAGCACTTTGGTTCGGTGAGCTATCTGGACAGCCCCTGCGATGAATATTTTAGTGTTTTGATTAGTATTACATTAAACCCATGCAATGGTTTTGGGAGAATGGTGATTTTGACAATGTTGGCTCTGTCTTTCCACAGGTATCTTCCTATTTTCAAATGTCTTCTTGAATTCCATTTTTTAGTTTTTGTAGTAAAAGTCTTTAATTTTTCTTACTTTTATCATGAATAGTACTATTTCCCTAATTTCTTTCTTTGTGAGTTCATTTCATTT